AAAAACAGGTAGTACTCCCTTCCTTCGAAAAAACTTGTCCCTCTAATAGATGTATTTAGCACTAAGAGCATCTTCACTCGGCCCCCCAACAGGCCCCTCGAGACCCCTTTTTATCACCGGCTAGAAAAAATTGGCTCGGTCACGCTCCCAAAAGCCTAAATTTCGTCGGTTAGGACCGAAATTGACGCCGACGAATTCAGGCCAAATTCGGCGCGCTAGGGGGCGTCCAGTGGCGCCGGGGGAAACGATTTTGACGCGAAAACTAGTGGACCCGCCAAGTCAGCGACGCCGAGAACCCCGGCACCCCGACGCCGCTCGTCGCCGTCAAGGCCGAGCCTCAAGAGAAGACGCAACGGCAGCCTCGTCATAAACGAGGGTCGTCGCCGCCAACCTTCTCCTCCTCCCCGCTCCCATCTTCGCCTAGTCAGGCCGAAGAAGGAGCCGGCGACGCCGTCTGTCGTCGTCAAAGAGGAGCACATCGACATGGCCGCCGACCTCGAGACCGGCCTCAAGTGGGCTCGGGACGACTACATCCGAGAGGAAATGGAGCGCTAGCGCCGTGCCCTTGAGGAGATCGCCGCCTGTCGCCGCAGCCGGGAAGAGGACGACGTCGTCATCCTCGACGACAGTGACAAGGAGGCGCCATCCAACCCCGTCCGCCTCGGTGACCCAGGACAGGGCTGCAGCAAGGACGACGGGATCCAAGAAGGAGGCAGCAGCGACGACGACGACGACGACGACAACAACAATGACTGCGACGACTACACCGCATTATGCCGCCTCCTCGGCATGCAGTACGCTAGAGGTGGCGGCGGCATAGTTTTTTTTAGTTTTATGCCTTTTAAATTTGTACAGCTGAATGAAAACCGCTTGAATTTGGTCCTATTTCGTGACATTTTCGTCAAAATTTAGCCGAATTTTAATTTTAAATAACGGCGTCTGGGTCGAACTTGGGGAGGCAGCTGGGAAACCCCACCCCCCCCCCATGGCGAATTTACCGCCGGTTGGCCCCCAAGCGGCTCTATTTCAAGCCCCTGGGGGGCCGAACGGCTGGAGATGCTCTAACTATCCCTCAAATGAATGTATCTAGCACCAAGTTAGTGCTAGATATATTCATTTGAGGGAGACAAGTTTTTTGGACGAAGGGAGTATGAGTTTAGTTTAACTACCCCTCCATCTCATAATATAAGAGCGTTTTTGGTCAAAAACACTCTTATATTATGGAAAGAGGGAAGATGATACCCATGTGTTGGACAGAGGTAGTATTACTACTTCTAAAAGTTTACAGAGGTGCTAATCCATTATATCAAATATAAATATTTGGATCAATAATATGAAAAATATCAATAAACACACATATGCTTTATGGTATTTAATTATTTATGTGAGCTTTTTCACATGCATGTTTACCTATTGAAGTGAGTCTTTTCATGCATGTTTACATGATGCTAAGGGTGGCATATGTGCACATGATGCTGAGGGTGGCATATGTGCGCTTAAAGATTCCCCGGAAACTCAAAGTCTTCGCTTGGCTGCTCTTCAAAGACCGCCTCAACACCAGGATCAACCTTGCACACAAACATATAATCGCCTCAGATATACTCCCTCCGGTCCTTTTTAGTTCGCATATAAGATTTGTCTGAAGTCAAGCCTCGTAAACTTTGACCAACTTTATAGAAAAGAATATCAACATTCACAATGTGAAATCAATACCAGTAGATGCGTCATGACTTAAAGTTTCATATTGTATAACTTTAGCATGGTAGATGCTGATATTTTTTCTTATAAATATGGTCAAACTTTGTGAAGTTTGACTTCAGACAATTCTTATATGCAGAGTAAAAAAGACCGGAGGGAGTATGCCCTCGGTGTGCGAGCCTGACAAAAGACTCCAACCACCTGTTTATCACATGTCCTCTCGCCAATAGGATCTGGCAACATCTTGGCCTTCTGCCCCAGTCTGACGATATCACAGACCTCTAGGATGTCACTACCCCTCCTCACCTCCCCGCCTCCACATGGCCCTCGATCCTCCTAACCCTGCTGTGGATGATCTGGTCTGCTCGCGATGACATGGTATTTAGGACGATTGATCAAAGTTCTGTAATAACTCTTAGAAACCTTATTTCCGTCCTGGATCTCTGGTCTCATCGTCTTGTGCTCCCACAGGACAGGAGGACGTCTTCTCGTGACGCTCCTACCTCTCTACACGGTGCACCGTGCCTATGTAATGTTGTACTTACTGCCTCGGCAGTCCTTTGAGTAATATA